GTTAGTCATGGTGAGTCATATATATTTCGATTTTCTACTGGCTCAGACCCCGAAGTGGGCGGGCTGCTCGGTGAGGGAGGCCGGGTCTGAGCGGGAAGGGGCGGAGCGACCAGTGCGGTTCCCGCCGCGAGCCTCTAGCCTTTACAGCCTCTTCTCCGCCAATTTCTTTTTCTCTGACCTCCTTAACTCTGCACACCCGTAGTCGTCCGTGACTGCCCTGGTTCCTTCAGCCCGGGTAGTCCCAGACGGTGGCGTCAGGCCACGGCTCCTGTGATCCCTGTCACCCTCCGTGAGGCCCCGAATTAGCACCAGGTTCAGGCCCGAGATGAAACTAGGCAAAGGAAGTGGCATTTCGTGTGCGTTTCCACCACATTCAAGCCCTTCAGTAGCTGAAAGGGGAGACTGAGGACCTCAGTCGTGATCTCAAACGCTCCGTGCGCACCTACGGTCAGGGGCCAACTCTCAAGTCCAGTCCGGAAGGTACATAATCTCTAGTCCAATTTTGGGTACTTCTACATACCCAGCCTGCTAAAACGTTTGCTATTAAGAGTATAAAGTCTATCACAGGGCAACCTCTTTTGGTTTATACAGATGCAGTTCCGTGAAGACATGTTTTGTTAAACTGGTAGCCGTCACTCTCCCGATTCTCTAACTGCCCAGAGTATCGTAACCACTTCCCAGCACGTCCGCATAATAGCGCTAATAGGGGAGAAGCTTGAGAACCCAAGCCCACTCGCGGAAGTTCACGTTTGGAAGCAGCAGTTCAGGTCAAGGCCTGCAACTTGCTCTCCAGTGGGGAGCTGTGAAGAGTGCCAAGGAGAGGGCTCCATCATTCTCCCGTGTCCTTCACAGTCGGGCCCTGTGGTGTTTCAGTGGGCCATGGAAATATCTGTGGGAGGGCTGCGAAGTCAAAAAATTGGGGAAACACTGTCTTTGATAACTACAAACCATTCGTTGCTTTGATTTAGTCTAGGTAGTCCAACGATTTTTTTAGGCCAAACTTAGAACCAGTGGGACTAGGTGTGTGGCCCAGAGTCACACCGTTGCCAGTGGAGGCAGTATGGGGCAGGCCTTGGAAGACAAGACTTTTGAGGCAAACTCAAGAACCCTGGCTCTTCTATTTAGTAGCTGAGGCGTTTTGGTTAAGCGATTTATCCTTGCTGAGCCAGTTTCCTCATCTGTAAAATGAGGCTAATGAGTATCCTCATCCTTAGACTGAAGCTCATAGATGGAAAGCACTGAGCGAAGTGCAGGTAAGCGCTCAATTAATGGTTGCCTATTATTACCATTATTAGAACTCAGGTCTTCTGATCGTGGACTCCCCATCCCACATCTTCCTTACATCATCCTGCTTCCTCAGAAGCCGCCTATTCTTGACGAGGATGAAACCAGCAACAACTGGTACATGCAAAAGCACACTGCTTACTGGGATAAGAATGGTCTCTCTACTGCCTTGGAGAATCACAAATGTCAGGATATAACAAAGTTTTCTGATCTTTATCTCTGAACCATTACACAAGTCTTCCATGGTGTGACTAAGGACCCACGGGGCACGTCCTCCTTTTCCTGTATCAGGAGACCTGCCAGTGCCTCCTTATGGACGACCATGCGGAAGGTTGAGAATTAAAGAAAGTAACATTGTCCCAGTTTTGACATCTCAGAGCCACAGATGATTGACTCCAGTGGCAGCTTGTCCCATCCGTTCCATCATGGAGACCCAGATCAAGCACTTGAAGGGTTCTCCTGGCTGAAAATGGAGAAAATTCCTGTAAGAAAAGGTTTTACACCACACACAGAAGTCAAAGCTCTTGGAAAGGAGACTTTTATTTTTTTCTCTCTGTGCTGTGCAAGGTCCTCATGTTCCCCAGCTTTATTTCCTCCCTCAAGGAGAAAAAAGATAGCAGTTCTCCAGGTCTCGGGGCTAAGCTGCTTCCATGTGGACCTAGCAAAGGTGGGACAGGACTGGTGACGGATCCCAGATCTACCAGCTGAGTGCATCCACTGCTGCTGAAGGGCAGGCAAGTGACTGGAAGGCAAGTAGTGGACTCAGCCTCAGGGACCAAGAATTTAAAGACTCCAAGGTGATCCGAATGAAAAGGTAAACATGCTGGACAGTTAGCCTCAGAAGCCACATCTGGTGTTTTGACCACTCAGAATCAGCAGTGTGTAAAAGGGCCATAGCCTGACAGTCCTAGTGCCAGGTGTCCTTACTATTCTCTTTGGCCTTGAGCTTTAGCAGGAAGGGCAGAGTGTTAACCAACCCTGTGAGCAGTTTTCAGCCAGGTTCACAGTATCAAGGAAGTGTGCCAGGGCAAAGGACTAAGACACATGGTGGGGTGGGGGGGGGGGGTCCCCTATATGCATAACCCTTCCTGGGTCCTCTCCAGGACTTTGTGATCCTGAAGCTGATTCCTTATCAAAACCATGTGTGTTCTTAGGGGGCACCTGGGTGGCTCAGTCAGTTAAATGGCTGGCTCTTAACCTCAGGGTCCTGAGTTCAAGCCCGGCATTGAGCTCCATTCTGGAGCATGGAACCTACTTTAAAAAAAAAAAAAAAAAAAAGAGGGGCTCCTGGGTGGCTCAGTGGGTTAAGCCTCTGCTCTCGGCTTGGGTCATGATCCCAGGGTCCTGGGATCAAGCCCCGCATCGGGCTCCCTGCTCATGGGGGAGCCTGCTTCCCCCACCCCACCCACCTGCCTCCCTGCCTACTTGTGATCTCTGTCAGTCAAATAAATAAATAAAATCTTTTAAAAAAAGAAAAGAAAAAAGAAAAAGCTTTTGGTCATGATCTCAGGGTCCTGGGATTGAGCCCCACGTCCAGCTCCCCACTCAGTGGGGAATCTCCTTGTCACCACCGCCCCCCACCCCCGCTTCTGCTCCTTCCCTTGCTTGTGCTCTCTCAAAATCTTTAAAGAAAACAAATGAGTTCTCAACTTGAGTGGAGTACAAGGGAGCAAAATCAGCTAATCTGGACTGTGAACAGGGTGACGACCAGGAGCAGAGACCCAGGAGGAAAGACTCTAGGCCTCAACACAGCTTTTCCAGACATTAGTTTTTGATTATTTATTTGAGGGGGAAAAATGTCACAACCAAGCATATAAAATACTGTTATCCTGAACTCATTTTTTTAGGAAGGGACAACAGGGAAAAAACCAAACTATACTTCAGAATTGATTAGGCTTTCAAGACAATGAGTATATTTTTTAAGCATTAGGCTAACTCATGGTTTGCTAACCCAGACAGTGCAAAAAAAAATGTCCAGGTGGAGAAGTAGGAGCAGATGCCATTACTTCAGGCAAAGGTAGGAGTTACTGAATAGAAAGGCAGAATGGCAGGGAAAGGCACAACATCTTTCCCCAAAGATTAAAAAACTGGACAGAGTGGGGTGAGGGGGTGGAGGGTAGGTCAGAATGTTGCCCTCTTCCATCCAGGTCTCCAAGCACTGGAAACCTTCCATGTTTTACAAGGCTGGCCCAGCCTCAGTCAGCAAACCCACCAGGACCAGGGCCAAGAACTCCCAGTGCTTCTAGTTCTGAGCACTTCTGGGTGGTTCTTGCTTGTGAAATGGGAAAGTTACAGTTTTTGGTTTTGTGAAACATAGTTAAGAGACAGAGATGCCCTTAGAAAGATGCTCTTTAAGAAAGGAGATAAAACCAAATCACAATTACACTTGGCTTTGATAACTGGGGTCTTTGTCTTTAAAACCGTTTTTTTCAGCTCTGTATCTTATATGGAATTTGGTCAGAGATGCCAGCTTGGGAATACTAGGTCCTTTAATACATTAGGAAAACCAAATCCTTTATTTGAGTGAAGACTAACCTGTGCTTTTGAAACCTCCCCTCTCCCTTCCCTCTAATGGATACCAGACGGGTACACAGGAGCCATCAATGCCAGGTCCTCCCCTATACCCTCTCTGCCAGTCACCTAGGGTAGCAGTCAGGCACAGAGATTTTCTTTAAACTCTAACTTGATCCTGATGAACAGCCAGGATGGAGAATCACTCTCAAGGTTCTGGGATTTGTATTTTTCATTCTCTGAATAGCTTCATACAAATGGCAACTGAGCCACTTTAAGGAACCGCTGCAGATCTAGGAGAGAAGCAGGAAATTTTTCCAAACGTAGCTAAGGTTAACCCTAGTTCACAACCTCCTAATCGATGACAAAAAGGGGACAGGAATCTCTACCCTAAATCCGAAAGGTAGCTGAGGTTTCAGTGCTATTTAGAGAGTCAGTTCATGCTGCTGTCATGGGGAAGGAATGAGACAGCTGCGGAGAGCGTCACCGGAATCTCCCTGATGGAGAGGTAGTAAGAGGAAAAAATAAAACTTGATGGGAGAACAAAATACTGGATAGGCAGATCAGAAACAGAATTATTATTGGCTTCTTGCCAGGAACAGGAAGAAAGCACAAAGCAAGAAGCCGCACTGACCACGTGAGACCCTCCTTCCCACCCTTAGGATACTTGTGAGGTTTTAGCAGCGGAACCCAGAGGGAGTGCAGGAAGCCCCACCTCCCTCTCCTGTGTGTCTTATCCACGCACGCTCTTCCTGGGTAGCACCAGTCCCCCAGGTGCGGGGTGAGACAGGATGGGAAAGAGGTCAGCGCATGTCTGCTCGCCCTCTGGCCTCTGGCGGTGCCTGGAGAGTTCAGCCAACGTCCCCTCGTGTTCCCATGGCAGACAGTGGGGAATGAAGGGCTGGCTGTGGGCCTATTCCTGCGCTAAGGCAACGTCCTGGAAAGGCAGGGCCTCATGGGGAAGAAACAGGGTGGCCACGCCTCCGTTGGTGACTGGATTTTTCAGCAGGTGTTTGCCGCCTGTCAACCTCTCTTCCACCTCTACCGCAGAGGCTGTGTCCTTGAAGGCCTCGTTCTGATTGGCAATAAGGCAAGGAAGGGGCCGACCAGCAGCACCTGTGCACGGCACCTGTGCTGTCCCGACAGCCCATTCCCTCCCTTGTCTCCCCCCCCAACCCCTGCCCCCGGCTTCTCACACAGCAGCTCTGGACCAGCCCAGGGTGAGGCAGAGACACGGGGCACACACACCCTCCCCTAGGCCCTCTGCACCAAGCCAGCTCCCCCACTGCACATTGGCCACTGAAGAACGCCATCTCCAAGCAACTTTGCACCCGACTTATATTGACCTCACTCCTGTGCGGGTCATTAACTGTGTTCCCATGAGACCTTCTCAGTACTCAGGAATCGGAGCTGGTCAGGAGGCGGAGGAAACGGGCTGCTTCTCCAGGAACCTGGGTCAAAGGCCAGCTCTTTCGATAGCTTTACCCCCAGAAACTCTAAATACTGTCTGAGCACTCAGTCTGCAGAGCTCAGCTTGGAACACGCCATCAGAACTCTTCCGTGACATTCAACGAAAAGGCAACATCTTGACGAGGCAGATAGGCTCCCGGGGAAAAGAGCAAAACAGAAGGCGTGACCAAGAGGAAAAGACAGAGAAGACAGTGAAAACAAAGAGGCCAAAGGGCAGGGCAGACAGGGACAGAAAACCTGGGCCACAATGCTAGACACCAGCTCAGGCCAGTGCTCCGCCTTCTCAATTCATTCCAGATAAATGAGCCTGGAGCAACGGGGAGGGGAGGAAGAGGAGCACAGTGTTTGGTAACAAAAATAGAAAGGGTCCGGTGAGAAAACAGGAGACAAGGAGATGGCATTCTGATCAGCATGAAGTGACCGGGCGATGACCAGCAAGATAGGAGGCACCTAGGGACCCTGTGAGGCACCAGCTCTGCAGCCACATGTTTCTAACGGAGAAGCCAGGGTCTGACCACCTGACGCCCACTCTGGCCTTCACCTGCCCTTACGTCTGCAGCAGCACCTCCGGCTCAGACAACGAGCAGTAGAGAGTATATCCCAACTCATCTATTTCTTCGGGAGTGAGCTCTGCAAATAAGTTCACCTTGGGGTTTAGGGCACTGGGCAGGACTCCGGCCTCCAAGTAGCTGATAAGCCCCCTCAGGGCCTGTAAGAACCGGTCGGCCAACATCTCTGGAGACCAGTCAGCCTCCTCCTGGGCCAAGTGGAGGATGACGTTGGTGAGCTGGCTGGCAGTGAGGTGGCCCAGAGCCGGAGTGGACTTGCATATGGCCTTGAGGATCTTGAGGCACAGAGATCGGCAGCCCGAGTCGGCCTGGTCCAAAGCCCGCAGGCGTGCCGTCTCTGCGGGACGCAGGCTCAGCCGCCACAGGTTGTCGTACTGCGCCAGCCGGTGTGGTCTGGCTACCAAGACAGTGTCGCCAAGGGTCACTGATGGCAGGAAATCAATGACAAGATGCTTGTCACGCTCATACTGCACTTCCAAAGTCAGGGCTTCTGGGGGTGGTGCTGGTCGGATCACATAGTCCAAGAGAGACCCTATGGCTGGCCAGTTGATGGAGCCAGCCACTACCTTCTCAAACGTGTCTGCCACTGTCTTTGGGGAGAGGTAGCCGCCTACTACACAGCGGTCCCAGTAACTGCTACCACGAGGAAAATACTCCGGGTTCTCACGACGGACCAGGTAGAAGCCAGGGACGTTCATGATGGTGTCCTCACCGGGTATACACGACCACAGGTTCTGCTCCAGCACGAGGGGCACGATGAGCTGGATGTGGTCTGCTGTCACCACCTGTTCGGGCAGAATTAAAAAGCTTTTGAGGGACTTAATCTGCTCGAGAGACAAACATCCCGAAACACAGGTCCCCCCATCTAATTTGCCGCCAACAATAAAGGAAACTACAAATTCGTTCATGTCGCCATTACCAATTCAAACAGAGTGAGGATTTAAACCCACATCTGTCAGGGGCGCCTGAGTGGCTCTGTCGGTTGTGTCTGCCTTCAGCTCGGGTCATGATCCCGGGGTCCTGGGATCGAGCCCTCTGCTCAGCGGGCTCGGGTGCTCTGCTCAGCAGGGAGCCTACTTCTCCCTCTCCCTCTGCCTGCACTCTGCCTACTTGTGCGTGCGCGCTCTCTCTCTGTTAAATGAATAAATAATATCTTAAACAAAACAAAAAACCATGTCTGTCAGAACAAGAAAAAGGAACAAGAAAGGGTTAAGAAGACCCAACAAGTACTACTGCAGTGGGCAGAATGCAGAAGCAGAAGACCTCAGTCTTTCTGGCAAGCCTGGGATGCTGATCTTCGGTACCAACGACACTCTCGAGAAGCATCCTGGTCGGCACCCAGCCCTGCCCTTCGTGGGAACCACCCTGTTACCTGCAGGTCATCATAGAGGCTGCCACTCAGGTACATGTCCCGAAGCGGCATGTCAGGCAACTTGGCCCGCAGGAAGCTCCGGAGCTCGGCACATATGTCCACAGCAGCTTGCTTGGCCCGAGCCTGCTCGCCAGCAGGGATGGCTGCCCGGTTCCGGTAGTAAGTAAGAAGTTTCTCCTGCAGGGACATGCGGAGTCGTGACTTCTTCAAGTCTACCTGGCCCTTCCTGGCCAATGGCTTGGGCCGGGGTGGGCAGAATGTATCTGCCAAGGCAAGAGAGAGAGGCATGTGAGCTCTTCCCATGCTTCTTAGACCACAGCTGCCTCGGCCCCGGGAAAGGAGGAGGGGCCTGGCACCAAAGGCAAGTGCTAGCACAGAGCCTGGCACACATGTGCTCGAGAAACACTTGCTGAAGGCAGATGTAGTACTGGGAGCCCAGAGAGAAGTCCCAGAGGGGTAACAGCCTTTTCCTCACCCGTGTCAAAGACCGAGGAGTCTGTGGGAAGGGTCTGCAGGGACCGGCTCAGGCCTGTCTTCATGTCCTTATTCAGCAACCGGGGGGAGCCCATCCAGTTGGGTTCTTCCCAGCTCCTTTTCCCTGAATGGCTCAGGCGGGTGGGGCTGGTAGGGGCACTGATCGCCCGATCATACATCTGCAAGAGGAGAGGACCAGCAGAGGTAGCTTCCTGCCTATCTCCCTTCTTCCCAGCAGCTCTGCCCTCGGGAGTTCAACTACTATTTTTCAATGACTGTTTTATCCTAGATTATGGAATACTTTGCTCCAGGTGGAAAATCTTAGGAAATACTAAATGATACAAATAAGAAACTGATCTACCATAGTATCACAACACAGAGGCAACTGTTGCTATTTTGGTTTAGTTCTTTCTGGAAACATACATTTATATAATTAGAATCTGATTCTACATATACTTTTGGAACTGGACTTTTTTCACTGATCACTTTTATCATTTCCCCCATGCCACTAAAAATGAATCAGTGTTCAACACTACGATACTTTTTCTGACGATACAACATGGTACCTTATGAACCTCCCATACCGTTGAACACGGATTCACTTATGTACTAGATACCAAGCAGCTACTGTGTGCCAGGCATTGTTCCAAGTGTGGAATAAAGCAGTAAACCAAAGAGACCCAACCCTGCCCTCACCAAGTTTCCAGTCCAGTGAAGGGATACAGGTAGTACCTAATTAACAAGTTAAATGTGAAGTATGCACACAGAGATAAATGTTAAGAAAGATAAAGTAGGAAAGGGAAGTAGGAAGCATATATGTGGTGGGAGTGTCGCCATTTTAAATAAGGTAATTAAGGAAGGATATTTTAGTTATTTGCCATTTTTTCCTCACCGGGACAGACTTATTTGTACTGCCAGTGATTTCTTTAGGGCAGAGTCCCAGAAGCAGACCTAGTGAATTCTCCTAAAGGCTCACCTTATAATGCCACCTAACCAGCTCACGCGCCCAGGGGCAGGACTGGAGTCTCGTTCCAGATCAGCTCCACTCTGCAGAGGCAGCCTCACCCCCTCTCCTGCCCCAGCCCCAGCCGCACGCACTTACCCGCTTAACTGCCAGCGTGGCGATGCCCAGCATGGCCGCTCCGCCTACCCCCAGCACCAGCCGGGCATTGGAAAGCACAAAATCAATGGCTGTGCCAATGCCATTGTCATCCTTCTTGCCTTTGCGCTCACCAGAGCCTGCCATCGCGCACCTGAGGACAAAGGCAGAACACAGCCATCACTGCCTGGGACCTCGAGAGCCATCCCTCCCCGTCTCCGCCTCGAGGCCAGCTCCCAACAAGTACAGGGTGTTCTGTGAATTCCAGCAACCCAAATCCTTCTGCCTATAGCACTGCAGGCTCTAAGGTCAAGACAGAGATATCATGTCCCACGAGGTAGCTGCATGCAAGGCGGAAGAAAGGATGGCGCTAATTGTGCCAAAAAACCTCCCCACCAATCTACGGAGATGATAGAACTAGAAAGCCTTAGCTCACTGTTAATCCTTCCTTATATTATGAGACTGATGTGCTACCTACTGCGCTAACGAGGCACCTTAATCCTTCCTTATATTAGCGTGAAGTATCCGACATGCAATTCAACCCTCTCCCGTCCCATCAGTATAATGTAGACCATGTTTTGATCCTTTGGCTACTACCTCCTATAAGGTGAGGCGTGAGAAGGGCTCATCTACTAGATTAAGACAGAAGATGCTCGTCCAGTCCCATGCCGTCACTCCACACATAGGGAGGTGACTTGCCAGAGGTCCCAGTGACAGGGAATGGCAGAGCTATCTCCAGAACTCAGGGCTCCCAGCTCCCAGTACGATGCTTTTTCTCCCACATCATATTACATTTACCCACTTCTTGAGGAAAGTGTTCAGGGGGGCTACAAGCTCATGTGAGGCCGGCACTGTGACATTGAGAATAAATGCCGTTAACCTGGCCGTTAACTTGGGAGAAAAATCCCTCTGCTCAAACGCACTTCAAAAATGAACTAAAGATGTGATCATCTAAAAGGGAGTTCATGGGCTCCATACTAAAGAGGCTGGCCTCTCATCCAGCACTCAAGCAAGGGGTACACACACATGCTCCCCGGCAACAATGGAGTCATCCCGATGAAGTTCCCCACGTCCCCAAATAAGCCCGATTCCCAGCAACTTAGAACGCTGGGCCGCACGCAGATAAAGGATGGCCATGTGGTTCAGATCTGAGTACTGCTCCCACTACTGCTGCTCTCCCCGGCCTCCCATGGCCAGCTCACCAGGAGTTACACAGAGAAAACCAGCTGTACACCAGCCAGGGCCCCAGCACACCCAGAATGGGAGGAGACACAGGATACCGGGGTGCATTTTCCAGTGTAAGTAACCTTCCCTACTATCTCAACTGCGTACTGCCAGCTTCACATGTACTGCCCTTTGCCTCTATCCTTCCCCTCCCCAAGAACGAAAGATTTTTGACTCTACTTATTCCAGCAATTAAGTTATCAAGGGAGAGTCATTGTCAAATCCAAAAATATGTTTCCCTAACTAGAGTTCACAACCTCGGTGGCACTGTTCTCTACCTCTTACAGTCAGTAGAAGCTTCCGATTTAGGGACGTAATGGGAGACGACTTGGCCAGGTGAAACAGGTTCCCATTTCATAACAAAGAGCAAGACAGACCAGGGACAAGAGTTCAACTATGTTACAGGGGGGGTCAGGCGAGAATGCTACTCATCCTCCCTCCAGTGGCCACTGAGTAAGTGAGAACTTTACACTGCTCCCCACACGTAACAAACGACCACTGTTTTATTTTTTTAAAACAACAAAAGAAACTTCATTGATGTATTTGTAAGAGAGAGAACCCCCAGATGCAGGCACCTCCTTGAATGTGAGGCAACAGGACCAGGAAACATCCTCCCCGCAAGCAGAAGCCAGAAGAGAGCCTCCCTGGGCCATGAAGTCCTGGGCCCATGTGAGCCCATGTGATGACCGGTAAGAACAAGGCAGTGATGTGGCTTAACAGAAGAGAGGCTGAGTTTTTGAGCTGGAAATCTGGTGGATAAGTATTTGTCTTTGAGCCCTGACTTATTAGCTGGTGACTTCCATAAGTTACTTCCTCTCTCAACAATGAAAAGGGGATAATTATGCCTGCATGGCCTGAATCATAAGGTTGTAGTGAGGAAACAACATCTACAAAAATACTATATGCAAGAACTTTATAAACAGTAAAAGTACTCCACAGATACGGGCTATCGTTAAGTCTTTTATGATTTCTATGAACAGGACAAAAGGTCAACTTCCAGAAGGCAGGCAGCAATCCAGACCATGCGGAGTTACACTTTTCCTTTAGAGATGGAGCTAAAGATGGCCTCTAAAACGCACTGAAGCTAACCTGCACTTGAGACCAAAACTATTAAGTTGTGTAGGCTTGAGAGAAGGCTTTTCCTCCTCTAGGGCAAAGTGTTCCCTCCATCCAAGGCCCAGGTGATGTCAACACTTGGTGATCCGGGAGAGGAGAGTGCTTCCATGAGCTTCAACAGGGAGATAAAAGTTCTCGTTCTTTTTTTTTTTTTTTTAATAGATTTGATTTATTTATTTGTCAGAGAGAGAGAGAGAGAGATAGCACGTGCACACGCGTGTGCAAGAGCACAAGCGGGGGACTGGCAGAAGAGGAGGGAGAAGCAGACTCCCCACTGAGCAAGGAGCCTGACGTGGGACTCAATCCCAGGACCCTGGGATCATGACCTGAGCTGAAGGTGAAGACTTAACCAAATGACCCACCCAGATGTCCCTAAAAGTTCTTGTTCTAAAACTAACTTGTGGGGCGCCTGGGTGGCTCAGTGGGTTAAGCCTCTGCCTTCGGCTCAGGTCATGATCTCAGGGTCCTGAGATCGAGCCCCGCGTCGGGCTCGAGCCCCACGTCGGGCTCGAGCCCCGCGTCGGGCTCTCTGCTCAGCAGGGAGCCTGCTTCCCCCTCTCTCTCTGCCTGCCTCTCTGCCTGCTTGTGATCTCTGTCTGTCAAATAAATAAGTAAAATCTTTAGAAAAAATAAAATAAATTAATTAATTAATTAAGACTAACTTGTTCCAGCTCAAACTGCTTATCCACTGTACCTCGTCCACTCAGGTTCTTCTGCGCTAGCTTGCTGATCTGGACACAGAAATCCACCTGGCAAGGAGGGGGAGCCCGGCTCCTCAGTGCGATCAAGAAGGAGCACTGTTGTTTCACGAGTACAGAGTTTCAGTTCTACAGGACGGAAAAGTTGCGGAGCTCTGCGACACAACAGTATGAATTGTCTTAACACCGCTGAGCTGCACACTAAAAAAGGGTCAAAGTATTTTTTTAAAAAGGATGACGACAGAGGAGGAGGAGGAGGAGGAACACCAACATGGCAGGCAGGGCTGGGGATGGACAGTCTCAGCACCGCCGCCACTTCAGGCAAGTTTTTAACCTGTCTACCCAGACACAAAAATGGGAATGGCGATACTCATTACCCCGATGTAGTGGGGAGGACGAGTCATGGCGGCCCAGCAGTTCCCAGAACCATGAAAATTCCCACTTATTTTACTTGAGAAAATCACAGGACTTAAACCTGCCCGGCAGGAGTACAGGCGAGGCCAGCGAACATGCACCAAGTGTGTACCCCAGGCTGGGCATGTTACACATCTCCTCATACCACCATCACGAGGTCAGTCACAGCGTTCTTGCCAACTTATGGATGACAAAACTGAGCCAGAGGGGAAGTAACTGGCCCAAGTTTATGGGGTCAGTAAGCTGTGCAGCCAAGATTGGAACCTGGAGCTCCTGCTGCTGGGGAGAAGTTTAAGGAGTCCCAAGTAGCCTGTAGCCCCACCCACTCACATCCCCTCTCTACTAACCAGGAGACAACACACTTCTTGGAGGCATTCTGGCACAGTCATTGCCACATCCCCACAGCCAAGAGTGTTTGATACATAGTACGTGTTCATTGGACCACTGACCTATTAACCCTGTGGGGTTATTTTTGGTTTTTTGAGGAGATGGTGATGGTGATTTGTAACCCAACTCACAGTCAAACTAGATTAAGAACACAAAGAATCAGTAACTCATGAGTTCCCTGCCAGATCTGCTACCCCTCCCTGTGCAGGAAGGCTCCCATGGGCGTCAGCCCTCCCCCGGCTCCCACCGCTGAAGGCCAGTCTGCCAGGCAACCCAAGTGGCTGAGGCGAACCAAAAGCCCTTATGTAAGGCTCCCTGCTCCCCACCCACCCACTTTCCCTCTCCATCAAACACAGCATCCTCCCCCAGCTGGCAAGCCTGCCACCTCAGCTAGTCTTCCTTTTCCTTTCTCCTCCTCTAGTCTCAGCCAACTGGTCACCAAGCCCCACTGCTGTGCACATGTACTTACGGGCAGCCACCCCACCCCACCCCCTCCCTTCGCTCCGTGTCATCTGGACAGATCTGCTGCCTCTAGCATCTCTCACCAACGTCTTTGTGGCCACAATCCCTCTTCCGTGCCCGTCCCCTGCTTCCCAAAGCTGTGACGGTCCCCCTCCTCTCAGATGTCACCATCTCTTCAATAGGGGAATCAGTATTGTTGCTGACTGGGCCCAGCCTCAACTCTGGCCACTTGCCGTACAGGTCTGCCCTTCGAGCCACAGCAGACTCAGGTTTCAGGACTACCAAATGCCGTTTCCACCGGCGTACTTGCTTATTCCTGCCCATCTGCCTGGCAAGCTTTTCTTTCTCATCTGAGGCAGTCCTCAAACATCCCCCTTTCAATGGCCACCTATGGTCCTCCTACCACTCTACTTCAGGCAGAATCCTGTCCTCATCCCATCTCCAAACTCTTTATATGACCCTCTAGTACAGAGCTGCTCCCACTGCAATTACTTCCTGTTGATCTCCACCTTAGACCGAGTCCTTGATGGACCATATCATTTCTCTTTATCCCAGAGCCTGCCAGAATGCCAGGACCATAGAAGGCCATCTGGAAAAGCTGTTGAATTAAATATACTCATTAGGTTAGAGGGGGACTTCTTGGTAACATGCTATCAGGAGTAAACAGGGCTCACAAACCTCCTACTAAGCATCATTCCAAGTGCTGTGTGCACGGTCTCATTTAATTCTCAAAATAACTGGATAAAGGTACCATTCTCTCCATTTTACAAATGAGGAAATGGAGGCCTGGAAAAGTCTAGTGATTTGCCCTAAATCCCAGCTATTAGCAGCCGTGCCAGGTTTTGAACCCAGACACGGTCCTTCGCAGTCAACACACTATACTTACTTTCTAGACTAACAGAACCCAGTTATGTCTGGGAGTATGATCTGACCCACAAGGTAACTGAACCCACTGGAGAATGAGCCAGCCTAGAACTGAGCTCCAATAGTTCTAACCAGTATCTTTTCTAAAATTTTCATATGTCAAATGTTCCATGAAATAAAATCATGGTAATAATTCTGTTCCAGTGGGGCTTGAAACTCACAGCCTATTTTTTCTCAATTAAGAAACCTACTTCTGTTAACATGTGTATTTCCTCTATTGATTTCTAGTGACTATGGTCACTGAAAAGTGACTTTCCTGGTCCTCTGCATCCAAAAAAAAAAGGGAAGAAAGAAAGAAACCTGTAAGAGTAAGTGTCGGGGGCTCCGGTGGCTCAGTGGGTCAAAGCCTCTGCCTTCAGCTCAGGTCATGATTCCAGAGTCCTGGGATCGAGCCCCATATCAGGCTCTCTGCTCCGTGGGGAGCCTGCTTCCTTCTCTCTCTTTGCCTGCCTCTCTGCCTACTTGTGATCTCTGTCAAATAAATAATATATTAAAAAAAAAAAAAAAAGATAAGTGTCTACCTACCTGAGGCTTCTTACTGCATCTGTGAGGTAGGGATGGGAAAGAGCAGGAGTGTCTACGGAAGACACCTTTGTCCTCTTTCCCTTGGAATTAGAATGAGAGGGAAAAGGAGGGGATCCTAAATAATCCCCCCCAATTTGCTGTGGAGGAAGACCAGGCCCTTTTCCAGCTGCCTCTCCCGGGCCTCAGGATCCTCTAGCTTCTGATTTTTCCGGAACTCACGGCGGATGTAGGCAAGGTAGAAGTCTCGATCAGTGTAGCGAAGCTCTCGACCCTGGCGCAGCAGGGCCCGGTAGAGACTGAGCACCGCCTCTCGGCTCCATGGGGCCATGGGGGACAGGTAGGGGGTGGGCGTCAAGCTATAAGCAGAAGGGAAAAAATAGAAGCCTAGAATCAGAATTAATGATGGAAGGGGTTACAGACACTATCTAAAATTCAGGACTTCTTAATCTGGGCCAAGGTCACACTATGACTTAGTAACAGGTCGAGGAGTAAACCCCAGCCTCTCAATCCCCTCTTCTGGTAAAGTACAGGTTATGCTGAAGGGCTAGGGCTTCAATTCTGGCTCTGCCATTTACCAGCCATATGACTTTGGACAAAGTACTTAACCCTCTTGAGCACCAGCTTCCTCAGTTGTAAAATGGAGATGGTACTATGTCAAAGAGTACCTACCTTCCACTCTGGGTTATTTTGAGAACTGCATGAGATAATGCACGGAAAGCATCTATAATAGAACTTCACCACCAAGGGGTGGTCCAGAGTGGCTGAAGGCAAGGGATCTCAGCCAAACTTGAATCCTGGCACCACCACTCATGAAAGGATTACCTTGGGCAAGTTTCTTAACCTCTCTGTGCTCACCTCAGTTCTCCATTTGCAAAATGAGGATTACGACTATATTCTGCCCACATGGTTAGTATGAGAATTAATTGAGTTAATGTATGTAAATGTGTTTAGAACAGTGCTTGGCATGGGGTGCCTGGGTGGCTCAGTGGGGTTAAGCCTCTGCCTTCGGCTCAGGTCATGATCTCAGGGTCCTGGGATCGAGCCCCACATCAGGTTCTCTGCTCAGCAGGGAGCATGCTTCCCTCTCACTCTCTGCCTGCCTCTCTGCCGACTTGTGATCTCTATCTCTCTGTGTCAAATAAATAAAAAATCGTTAGAATAGTGCTTGGCACATACTGGATCAGGGTTACTTATTTCTAGTGGGGCCTAGCCTGGTTTGTAAGTACTCAATAAATATTAGATTTACTTACACAAAAACCGCCACTATCTCCTTTCAGTAACAATGAATCTTCACACAGGTACAGACTGTCATTTATAAAATGCCTTGTCATCCATTGCCACGTTTAAATTAAGGAACCTATGAGGTGGTCAGGGCTCCCAACAATGACAACGAACGCTTACTGATTACTACATACCACCGGAGTTCCAAGCACATCCCACAGAATGTCACACCTTGTTCTATCAACAAAACGGTATCATTATCCCCATTTTAAGTGGAGGAAACTGAAGCTCCCAGAGGGAAGTAACTTGCCCACAGGCACACAACTGGAAAGGAGGGCTGCACTCCTGACCCCAACTCTGCCTGCCGCTGTAAGGACAGTTACCATTTGCTCGGGCCTTACCATGTAAAGCACAGGTGCTCTACAAACTCTCCCAGCACATATAAGGGCCCCCCAAAATACGCTGGATGAAAGAATTAACGTCTCTATATGGAAAAAATGATCACCTCTATTTCAGATATAAAGACATGAGACTGAATGAGGAGGTATCTGATCTGAACTTTGGGCCCAAAGTCGGTCAGCCATCAGGTCTGGCCTCACTAACTTCCTGCGCGAGCCTGAGCAAGCCACCGTCCCCGTCCTTTTTCCCTCAACTGTAGAAGAGCTCCCCTCGGCCCCAAGGGCCCCCCGGAGTGGGAGACATGAATCCAGAAAATCCATAGGAAAAGTGCTTTATGAGGTTTGAGGCGACTGTCACGCGAAGGCTGTTACTACAAGGTCGCTCGGCAGTTGGGCGACTGTGCCCTGGTCGGTTCCCAGTTCCTGCCCCGACCCTTGGGGGGCCAGGCCGAGGCGGGATGGGGATACCCCGGGCTAGGGCAGGCGGGCTCGGGAGCCCCGGGAGGCCTCCGGAGGCTGGGGAGGAGCCACAGAGCGGCCTCCCAAGGGAAAACCTGACCGGTCTGGGGCAAGACACCCGGTGGCCAGGTTGGGGGGCGCCGGCCGCGGCCCCGAGCGGAGGCTCACCGAGCCCCGGGCCCTTGGCCCCGCTCCTCCCCTCACTCACCCGCGGACTGCGCGCGCTACCACTCCTCGGAATTCGCCTCTCTCCCGGTACCTCTCCCGGGGTCACCCACCAACATGGCCCCTTCACTTCCGGGACACGACCTTGCGCACGGAGTTGAGGGGAGGGACTGAAGAGCGTGGGGGCGGGCGGAGGCGGGAGGACTTCCGTTCTTCCCCGCAGAGACCTCTCTCGGGGCGGGGCCTAGAGCCTCACCGGGCCACGCCCCCTCAGGCGGGTTCCATCCCGTGCGTGACGTCACCAAGGAGAGGCTCGCTGGGGGCCGTTCGGGGCCTGCCCACCCGGAGAACCGCGGTGCGGTGGGCGGGAGAGGGCGGAGGAGCCCCTTCAAGGGCAAAATGTATTTATTGGCACCAGTTATGTGCCGAGCGCTGTTATTTAATTTATCCATTTGCTTCTCTCTCACTAGATTTGAGGGCAGGACCCATGTCTTACGGAATCCTTACGTCCCCTCCCCACGGCATCTCCATGGTGCCCAGTGCGGCCAGGCAAGGAAGGTTTGGAGTCCAACCCCGGGGGACTCCCAGTTCCAGCTCCACCACTTAAGGACTGCCGTTTGCCAAGTTCCCCTAACCTCAGCCTGGGACTCAGGAGAATTGAAAATCATCTAGAGATACTGGTGGGTACTTAGACAGTAGTTTCCTGGCCAATTCCATTGATTTCTGCAACAAATCCTTGTCAGGCGTCTCTAATGGGCCAGGCACTGCCACAGGTGTTGCAGGCTAAGGAAAGATGGAGTCCTGTCTCCTAGCCAGGGCTGACCCCAGAGGTGAGACCAGCTGGGAGGACGGCTGCTGTGTGAGAGGATCCGGTGAAGGGAGTGTGGTGGGCCCGCAGGCAGGGGCGGCTGTCTTACATGGATGGGTGACATGTGGAACTTCCCATTTCCTTGTGGCCGTGAACACCATTCAATGCTGCCTTTTTGGCCTTCAAAGCCTTTGCTATGGCTTCTGCTTTAGGAGAAGCAGGCGCTTTCTTCACTTTCAAGTCCATCTTCGTGCAGAGTCCCTGACTGCCATTGCCACAGGATCAGTCTGGCTGGAGGAGGACTGAAGGCATCAAGGGCTAAAGCAGGGAGATCAGTCAGAAAGCTGTGACAGAAGCCCCCGGGGGGAGAGGACAGGGGCTCAAACCAGGGAGGCGGCAGTGGAGGGAAGGGGTGGTCAGATCCCGGAAGTCTTTGGAGGGAGAGCCACTGCTCATGTGGTGTATGAGAGAGAAGGGTCACTGTGGCTTTGGGGTTCCGCGTGAGCAGCTGCCCTGCTGCCTCCCTCCGCCAGCTTAGTTAGGAGCATGTTCCAAGCATTCCAAATTGCTAGCAGAAGGCTGTTTTCCAGGGACCTCAGGTCTCCACTCAGATGAGGGGAGACTACCCTGTGTTCTAGAGAGCCCGGCTGCACTGGAGAGGTGGTGAACCCCTAGGGCTTCTGGGAAAGGAAGGGTCCAGTTGGGGGCCTCAAGCAGGGAAGCTTAAGACTTAGGAGCAACGGTGGTATGGAGCTGAGGCTCTTAGGCTAGGGTCTAGATCCCCCGGGGCCAGCTTGGCATAGGGAGACCAGGATGAAATTCAACAATTCTCTCCCCTCACACTCACAGTGTGGCAGCCCAGGGCACTTACAGTGCCTTTGTGAAACACCTCTTGTGTGCCAGACATTGGGAATGAATGCTTTACAAACATTGTATTATATCTAATCCCAGTGGTCCCACTTGGTAGGCATCTTTATCCCCATTTTATGGATGGGAAATCCAAGACTCAGAGGGGTTTGCCCATTTCTCTGACACTGAGCTACGCAACTGAGAAGCTCACAGTAGAACTCATGTCTGTCTTACCCCAAAACATGTGTTCCTTCTACCCTTCCGGGCTGTCCTACTTTGCTCAATAAAAAAATAAGTTTGTGACCCAAATCTAATTGGTGACATTTCCAGCTGGAAGACCCGGTGACCTTTCATATCCCTCCTGACCCTCCTGCTCTATAGAATATTATTTTTAGGAGGGAAGGGGAGAGGCTCCCCAGGGGCTTGCCTTTCAGGTCAGCTCTCCCTAAACTCTTCTGGGTCTTTTCTTTACTTCCAGACTCACAGCACTCATTCCTGCTCCCAGCACTCCCATGACAATGGGGGAGGGCAGTGAGGCAGGCATCTGGCACCCACATGCATCCATGGTGACTTTGTAGGCCCGAGACCCTCGCAAGGAGCACTGATCCAAATGTCAGGGCCCCACCGGGTTGATGGGACAAGGGGCCCTCTGGGATCTCTCGGATACTGCAGCTTTGACATAACCCAGTTGTACATGTGGATGTTGGCTGTGGTGTCTTATGGGGTCATGTATGGAGGGTGAGTGGGAAGCCCTTGTTCACCAGAGCAATGACTCACACCAGTAGCAGATTTCTCATTATGGAATGAATGAACGAATGAATGAATGAATGAATGAATGAATCTTTTCCAGAAAGACAGGGCCTAGGGGAGAGGGACCATTTTCCTAACTCAGGCCAGTCCAATCCAGTTGAATTTGAACAAGGCAGTGGGGGTGGGGGTGGGCATGGGGCAAGTGATTTAAGCTTCGTGTGCCTTGGTTTCCTCATCTGTGAGCTGGAGATGGAGATAAAAGGATTGTCTCCGGGACGCCTGGGTGGCTCAGTTGGTTAAGCAGCTGCCTTCGGCTCGGGTCATGATCCCAGCGTCCTGGGATCGAGTCCCACATCGGGCTCCTTGCTCTGCGGGGAGCCTGCTTCTCCCTCTGCCTCTGCCTGCCATTCTGTCTGCCTGTGCTCGCTCTCTCTCTCTCTCTCATAAATAAATAAAATCTTTAAAAA